AGGGTCTAGTCCCGAAACGTCAGCCTCCCTGCTCCTCTGATGCTGCTTGGCCTGATGTGTTCATCCAGCTCTACACCTTGTTATCTCTGGATTAACAGTTCAGTGATAATACCACTAGGCCATCACCTCCCCTGTAATGCGCTGCCTTACTGTGGTGAAGGCAGATTCAATTGAGGCACTCGAGATGAAAATGAATTATTATCTGAAAAGGACGAATGTGCAGGATTACAGGGAGAAGGTGGGGGAGCAGTACAGGATGAATTCCTCCTTCAGCACAGGCGTGACCTCCTCCAGTGCTGCAACCATTCTGAGAAGTAGGGGAATTTAATACAATGAAGTGAGAGGTGATGTATTTTTGCAGAAGGAACAGGGAGAAGTAGTACAGACATCATACCAAAGTTTAGGGAGAGGTAATATAGACAACACCACAGATCAAAGTTTGTGCAAAAACAGGAGATTCATGTGCATAGATTTTTGAACTTGACAGCACATAATGAGACAGCCATTAGGATCTTAGACATCAGAAACAGAGAAAAGTACAAAAGCAGTGAAAATTGACTTCATAAAACTCTGTTTAGACACCACTAGAGTATTGCATCTGTTTTGATTCACACAGTCGGGCACGAAAGAGTGTCAAGGAGATTTACAGGAATAACTAAATATATCAGCAATGTGGAATTTTAGTTATAGTGTTAGGTTGGAGAAGCTGAGACTGTTCTTGGAGCAAAAGATAACAGATTTGGTACAGATTTGGATAAGGTACACATGGAAACAGTTCCTGTTAGCTGATGTTACAAGGATTGGGGACATGCATTTAATGTTTTGGGCAAGAAATTCAGGGAGCATGTAAGGAAAATGGTGATGACCTGACACTCATTAGCTGCAAGGCTGGTAGAAGCAAAAATGATCAATAATTTCAAAAGGAAATTGGAGATGCACTCACAAATAAACTTGTATGTTTACTGGAGTGGAGCCAGAGACTGGGACTTGCACGTTCCACCAAGCACTGGCACAGATATAATAGGCCAAAATTCACCCTTCTCTGCTCTACTGTCTGTAGGCTTCTATGTAGCTCAGTGTCAAGTTTTCTCAGATAACACTTTGCCTAGCATCTTGGGACATTTCACCACGCTCTAAAAAAATGCAAGTAGTTGTTGCTAAAAACAAAAAGTCTACATTAATACAAACAGTTGGAGCAAGAGGAGGCCATTCAGTCCCCTGAGCTAATTCCACTCTTTAATTATACCATGGTCAATTTTAATCTTAACTCCATTTACCTGCCTGATTTACAAAAATCTTCAATTCTCTATTGTGAATCTTGTAACTGATTGTAGACATTCGTGTTCTGAGTGGACAAGGCCAGTCTGTAATCTATAGATTTCACAGCACATTAAAAACAGGATGCTTTGCAAAAAGTGTCAAAAGCTAAATGAACCTAAAGCATTTACTTGTAAATATTGATAAAAAAAATTAGTAGGAGCAGTATTTCCTGAATTTGTCTTTTGCAGGTTGATGCTGCAAGAGTAAATCTCAAAGAAGAAAATGATACGGAGATGTGTCAATTCTAACTTCTAAGAAAAATGCCTTTTGAAGACACACTAGTAATTTTCAATAATCAATTTTTACATAGAGAATACTAATTCTTTTGCATTTATTTTTAGGGACATTCAATGGAGACGTGAACTTAAATGAAACTCACGTTTGCCCTGAGCACAATGCACAGTTCTAGTGACTGCATTTAAATAAAAAACAAGACACAAAAGCACTTGAGAAAACAAAAAAAAATTTCGAAGGATTATATCAGAACTGAGGGATTACAGTGATCGGGGGAAAAAGAACTGAATACGTTAAGCTTATTTGCTATAGGAAAAGTGACTGATTGGAGCCTTTAAAATTGTGTAAAGATGGGAAGAGTGGCTACATGTGGAGAGTATGTTTTTGCTTATGGAAAATTCCAATACTCGGGTCTTAGATGGTCACAAGATTAAATAGGCAAATAAGGCTTTTTAAAATTTCAGACTGGGGAGCCTGCAACCACAGGCAGCAGTTGAGTCAAGTAAATGGAATGCACTCAGAAGGAAACTAGACTGCCATGAGACTAAGAGGCATCATAGGAGCAGAAAGGCTGACGTTTCGGGCCTAGACCCTTCATCAGAAAACCATTGCTTGTTGATAAACACCCTTGAATAAGAAACTTCACAAAGTGCTCACAACAAACTGAAAGGAGATTTTACTTCTGTTCAAAAGCAGAAATTGCTGTAAAAGCTCAGCAAGTCTGACAGCGTCTGTGAAGGAGTTCTGAGGAAGGGTCTAGGCCCGAAACGTCAGCCTTTCTGCTCCTATGATGCTGCTTGGCCTGCTGCGTTCATCCAGCCCTGCACCTTGTTGTCTCGGATTCTCCGGCATCTGCAGTTCCTACTATCTCTTGCCATGAGACTAAGATTTGTTAGCCTGGATGGTATGGGAGGTGACTCATGTGAAGTATAAGTACAGATTTGGATAAGGTACACATGGAAACAGTTCCTGTTAGCTGATGTTACAAGGATTGGGGACATGCATTTAATGTTTTGGGCAAGAAATTCAGGGAGCATGTGACTGGTTGGGCCAAACAGCCCAAAATGTGTGCTACCATTTTGAGTCCGAGTCTCCTCTTTGGAAGGAATGGCTGAAGTAGAATCTTTGGACTATTTCTCACTCCACATATACTGCTATAGACCTACTGAGTTTCTTCAGCATTTTCTGGTATTACTTCTGATTTCCAGCATCAAAATACTTTTACCTATAACTGACCTGTACTGCTGCTTGACAGCATCGGGAACTCGAGTTCGATTCCACCCTCAGGCAACTGTCCATGTGGAGTTTGCACGTTTACCCTGTATCTGTGTGGGTTTCTGCCAGGTGCTCCAGTTCCTCCCACGGTCCAACGATGTGCAAGTTAGGTGGATTGGCCCATGCTAAATTACCCATAGTGTTTAGGGATGTGCAGTTAGGTGCATTAGCCACAGGAAATGCAAGGTTGGGGAATGGGTCAGGGTGGGATGCTTTTTGGATGGTCGGTGTCAACTCGTTGTGCCAAATGGCTTCTTTCCACACTCAACGAATTCTATTCGCCTCCTACTGAAGATCCCGTTAATGTGTCTGCTCCAAGAACAGTCCTAGTTTCTCTACATTACAGAAGCCACTCTTCATTGGTACTTTTCTAGTAAATCTCATTTCCCAAACCCTTGGCACCTTTCCAGAAGGGGGATGAGAAGAACTGGAACCAAAACTGCAACTGAAGCCTCACTTATGATTTAGAATAATTGGTTCCTGTTCCTTCACAAAATCATAGGATGGGAGAAGACCATTCAGCCCATCGAACCTGTTCCATCATTCAGTGAGATCACAGCTGATCTAAGGCCTGCTTATATATACTTGCTTTTGGACCATATCCCTTCATACCTTTGCTTAACAAAAATTTCTCAGATTTAAAATTAATAACTAGAATCATTTAGTTCATATTTTCTCATTCTTCCTCCCAAACTTTACATTTGCACTCAATTTCACCAGCTCTAAGAGTAAATTGTTAGCAAACACAATTAAATTTAACCATTGCTTGTTGATAAACAGCCTTGAATAAGAAACTTCACAAAGTGCTCACAACAAACTGAAAGGAGATTTTACTTCTGTTCAAAAGCAGAAATTGCTGTAAAAGCTCAGCAAGTCTGACAGCGTCTGTGAAGGAGTTCTGAGGAAGGGTCACCGGACCCAAGAAGTTAACTCTGATTTTTTCTTCACAGATGCTGCCAGACCTGCTGAGCTTTTCTAGCAACTTCTGTTTTGTTCCTGATTTACAGCAACTGCAGTTCTTTCGGTTCATATTTATTTCTGTTCAGTTCTACTGACACTCACATTGGGCATTCCCATTTGTACCTCCTCTTCCACCCTCCGCTGGATGCTCTCCAGTTGACCTTTCAACTGTGCAAGATCCTTTAGCTTTCCCAGTGTGTCCTGCGGAAGGAATATCACAGCAAGTAAACAGAAGAATAATGGTTTGTTCTCATGGATGATGAATGCCAACATTGAAATTAATGTAGGCCATTTGGCAATGTAATAAATAAGACAGTTTTTAATTATGTAGTTTTTCTTTATTCTTTCATTGGATGTAGGTGTTGATTAAAAAAAAAGCCATCCCGTAAAACTGAATAGTTTACTCAGCCATTGTGGAATCAACCACATTGCTGTGGGTCTGGATTCAGTCATAGGCCAGATCAAGTAAGGATGGCAGATTTCTTTTGCTCTTTTTTCCCAGTGAACTACATCAGCTTCTTTTTAGGTCAATGAATGATACTATTGCTGAGACTCTCTTTATATTCCAGATTTTTATTAATGGAATTTAAATTTCAACAGCTGTGGCATTTGAACCAGTTACCCCATGGAATAAGCATCAGCTTCAAATTACTGATCCAGTGACACCGCCACTACACCACCATCTCCCTCTGTTCAACTAGGTAACCAGCAATAGTTAAGCTGTGATTCCAAGACAAAACTTACTTGTACTGGATATCGAGATCATTTGTTAAAATTTCTTTCATGGCAATAACTATCCTTACCTGGTCTGGCCTACATGTGACTCCAGACCCACAGCAATGTGGTTGACTCT